TAAGCTAACGGCATAGATACGTAGTTACTCGCTTGTAGTTTGGCTTCGTTTAGAGTTTAAGAGCTTCGACTGTGTTTTCAGTAATAGGCCAGAGCAAAAATTTTCCAACGACTTCGTGACGTCAAGTGCACCATTTTTAATGTCTTAACTCTGGTCATGAAATTAGGACTGGAGTGACTGGAATTACTCCAGATTAATAACGAGCCAATAAAAGTTTTCGAAGAAATCAGGGCCAATCACATCACAGAATTTTCGAAGAAATTTGGGGGGCCGCTGTGTGAGTTAGCGGCCATCTGTATATACTGTATGTGAACACACAGGGGCAGTGTGTATTGTCTGGTGATAGGCAGCTGTCTCGGCTAGCCATAGTATGTCAGCAGCAGGTGTGTCTGTGGAAAATTTCATCCCAGGTAACAAGTCCAATACTGGGGATGGTTAGTGTATTGGGCGGCGTGATGGGGGCCTGTGGTCAGAGGATATTGCGCAAAGTAGGGAGGGAGGCTATTAAAACAATAATAACAAAGTGATGGCGAAAAAGAAAATGGATAGCCGACGAGAAGACGCTAGAGTTGAGTGCACGCACATTGCAATATAGCCAGATGTATATACAATACAAGACTTGGAAATGATATGCGACAAACTTCAACGAATACTAGAAGAGAAGAATAACCGTATAGAACAATTAAAAAGAGAAGATAGAACAACATCTGCAAACAATAAATAATAATAGTCGCAACGTTTTTGTAAAGTATGAAGAAATCGTTGACCAGAAAAGGGAGGAATAACTACTTTACGTGCAAACAAAGCGAGAACGTACAGACTTGAAAAGATTTGTGATATCAAGGCAGCTTTAGAATACATATGGTCATTGGTTAGTGTATATATTTTGCAATAAGCAATCATGTCTGTCTGTCTGTCTGTCTGTCTGTCTGTCTGTCTGTTATTCACTATAAAATTTTTTGCAAAAGATTCTTTCGAAAATCTTTCAAAGAGGAGAGAATTATTGACGCTGCTGTGTTACAATGGTGGTTTGAAAAAAAACTCGACACTTTTGCAAACGACATGGCATATCGTATCGAAATTTTTGCAGAATATTGGATTTCCGAATGAGATGATTGCCTTGGCTCTCTTATTAAAGCATCATGACCATAGATTCGCTTATACCGATACGACCGTTACGGATGGACGTGATGCAAAATTTTCATATGATTATAAAGAGGCTTCAAAAAGCTTAGAAATAGTGTATAATTTTCTACAACAGCAGGATAATGTTGAGGAATTGTTCAAACACGTCAAAGCTCTTGACAAATACATTAATGTAAAAAAGACGACTGCAATGAAACAGACGACGATGGATCAATTTTTTAATAATAAATAACCAATGATATTTCATTTTTCCCTAATTTCACGTGCATCCAATCAAATTCTTACCCTCTCTAAATGCACACCCTCCATAAATGCACGCTTTCCTCCATTCCCGAGGGCGTGCATTTATGGAGGGTTCACTGTATGTACGCCTGTTGAATTCCAATTGGGTCTAACAATCTAACCGAAGTTTCTTTTAGTGTAGCTATTGTCATTTTGTAAATATAATAAAACACGAACAATTTCATATTTAGTGGAAGATTTCCGGCATTTGTCGTCGTAATTTTTTTAACAGTATAATTCTTCGAACCTAACCTGGCGAATACGTTCGTAGATTTATGGCGCTTCCATATACGTTAAAATTTTCTGAATAAAACTCAATCAGAATACGAATTTTAAAATCATGAGTAGAAGTTTATTGCTGCATTTTGGTAAAAGGAAAGAAAAATTAGGTTTGATAGTCAAAAACAACAAATTAATTTTTTTTGGTTACAGAAGATGATAATATAGATAAAATGATTGAAATTATTTGATATACATACATCGTCTTTTAATCGAACTTTACGGAAAAGTTTTCTCCGAAAACAATTAAAGGTACTTCTTCAACCAAGCGTACTTGAATTTAACAGTACATAGCTTGTATGAAAATTTTCATTGTACACGTTGAAGTTTCTCTATATGTCTGACCCAGTTTTTATGCGCTTTCCATACACGGTACCATTTTATACGCATAGCCTTATTAAGTATGTCGTGTTCCCATTATATTTGTTCATACAATAAGTTATGTAACGACACAATTTCAACAGTCTCCTAAGCAATGTCGTCGCAACAACTTTTTCAAGCTTGGCAAGGTCAGTTATGGAACCATCAACAAGGGGAATCGATGCAACAACAGCCGTATCAGCATCACTACACTTTGCATATCAATCAATGCAGCAGGAATACGTTGATGGCTCAAATCAGTATTTTCTATATCAAGATTTTCCGAATGACTCGCAAAACGGATTGCAACTAACCCGGCAATACCAATCATCTTCACAACTATCCACCGATGTGATTATCTTCGGTAGTCTACCAACATATTCTATTTCACAAGTGACAAACCAGCAGCAAGCGCGGGCTTATATAGACGATTCCAATCTGCCCGTGCGTGAACATCTAGTTACAGGTCCCATTCAGCAGCAGAACGATGCTCTGTATACTCGGCAAAGCTTGCTAACACACCGGCAACAACGTCAACAGTGGTTGTCGCAGTACCCGTATTCGAAGTACAAACACCAAGCCAATTCGATGATGCAGTCTTTACATCAATTGAATGCTATTCAAGATATGCCTGGAGTTTTTCCGACTGAACCATCGGAGCATGCATGTCCAAATGCAGGTTTGTATATTTGTTTCCTGAGTCGTACCAAGCTCATGCTCTTTGCAACATTAAATGTCTATCCACCGACAAAGGTTACTTCTCAGCCGTCTCAGTCACAAGGAAACATCCACCAAATTCCTCAACTACAAATCAACTTTAATCGATCGGGAAACGGGTTTCCGGATCAAATGAAAACCGATGAACGATCTCGACCGCAATCTCAAGTAATCATACACCAGCAGAGAAAACCTAATATTATTTATAATAAGGAATGGGTAGAGAGAAGTGTTAAAGATGGTTCTATCTGCTGTTATTCAGAAGACGATATTAAATTGGGACGGCCTATCGGTACTGGTTCATATGGAATAGTATATAAAGCAACGATGAAACGTACCGGAATGCCTATTGCAATAAAAACTTTGGTTTGGCGCCCAGGCGATTGTGAGGAAAGACTGTACAAAAAGTTTGCCAAAGAGGTATTTGATCCTTTTGTTTAATACTATATGCCTGATATGTTGTTTATTGTTACTGATATAAAGTTAATAGTTTATTATTATATTTACATACATAGTTGAAAAATCACAAGAAAGTGAGTGGTCATTCAAATATTATCCGATTTCTAGGTGTCTGTAAGTATACTCATGTTAATATTACCACAATTTGCAACCAATACAATAATAATAATAATTATACATGATGCATTTGCTCAATCTACAGATGAAGATGAAGGTTATCATATGATTTTCGAGTTCGCAAATGGCGGGACTTTGTGCACCCACTTGGAACGGCATTTTCATAGTTTAACATGGGAAGACAAGTACAAACTCAGTCTGGAGATTACGAGTGGATTGAAAAACATGCATGACCTTGATATCATCCATAAAGACTTGGTAATCTATATGATGACACTCTTACTATTTTGTTTGCAAGTATATTAATGATTATAAACTAATTATTATTTATGCTCTTCCCAGTCAGCTTTCAATGTTCTTATTAAATCTGGCATTGCAAAAATCACTGATTTTGGTTTATCAGGGCAGATGATGTCCTCATCATTAGGTGAAGGTACTGCAGCATACAGGGATCCCTTATCATTTAGAAATCAATCATATAATCGTGGAAAGAAATCTGATATTTTTAGCCTTGGAGTGTTGTTTTGGGAAATTTCTAGTGGGAAGATTCCTTGTAAAAAATTGGACAATTACAATGTAGCAAAATATAGAGAAGAAGGCTATCGCGATCCTCCACTTCCAGAGACACCAGAAGCATATGTTCAGCTATATTCAGCATGTTGGAATGAGAACCCTGAAGAGCGACCATCTTGCAAAGAAGTACACAAACAATTACAATGGTTGTCTGATGACACAAACCATCATTTACCAGTAGAATACTAAATCTTTCTTGGAAGCTGAGAGATACAGGAGCAGCTGTGCTGCTATCTGTTCTAAATCAAACCTTTCTGTAAATTCTTTGATACTTTCTTATAACAGAATTGGAGATGCTGTAGTAACAGTGTTAGCAAAGACTTTATTGTTAGAATCAAATCCACCTCTTATTTTTTTGAATCTATACTCTAATCAAATTGGAGATGCAGGAGCAATAGCATTGGCAAAGACTTTAGAATTAAACTCATTTCTGACTTCTTTGGATGTTTCCACTAATCAGATTGGAGCTGCAGGAGCAACAGCATTGGCAAAGGCTTTAGGACTGAATTCTTCTCTGACTTTTTTGAATCTTTGTAATAATCAGATTAGAGATGCAGGAGCAACAGCATTGGCAAAGGCTCTAAAATCAAATTCATCTCTGACTTTTTTGAATCTTAATTTTAATCAGATTGGAGATGCAGGAGCAACAGAATTGGCAAAGGCTCTAAAATCGAATTCATCTCTGACTTTTTTGAATCTATACTCTAATCAGATTGGAGATGCAGGAGCAACAGCTCTAAAATTGAATTCATGATATTGGAGATGCAGGAGCAACAGCATTAGCAAAGACTCTAGAATCTAATTCATCTCTGACTTTTTTGAATCTATACTTTAATCAGATTGGAGATACAGGAGTGATAGCATTGGCAAAGGCTCTAGAATCAAATTTATCTTTGACTTCTTTGGATCTGTGGGATAATCAGATTGGAGATGAAGGAGTGATAGCATTGGCAAATGCTTTAGAATCAAATTTATCTTTGACTTCTTTGGATCTTGCTTCTAATGATATTACAGTTGCAGGAGCAATAACATTGGCAAAGGCTCTAGAATCAACTTCAACTCTGACTTCCTTGGATCTTGGTTTTAATAAGATTGGAGATGCAGGAGCAATAGCATTGGCAAGAGCTCTAGAATCAAATTCATCTCTGACTTCTTTGAAATTATCTGATAATAATATTGGAGATACAGGAGCAACAGCATTGGCAAATGCTCTAGAATCAAACTCCTTTCTAACTTCTTTGAATCTATACTTTAATCAGATTGGAGATGCAGGAGCAACAGTATTAGCAAATGGTCTAGAATCAAATTTCTTTTTGACTTCTTTGAACCTTTGTAATAATCAGATTGGGCATGCAGGAGCAACAGCATTGTCAAAGGCTCTAGAATCGAATTCCTCTCTGACTTCTTTGAATCTTAATCATAATCAAATTGGAAATGTAAGAACAATGTTGGCTAGGCTCTAGTATTAGAATCAAATTCATCTCTGACTTCTTTGAATCTTAGGTACAATCAGGTTGGAGATACAGGAACAATGGCATTGGCAAAACATAAATATTATTATTGGTTTAATTGTAAAGTATTGAGATAATTCAAAGCTTCCAGTTGTGGTGCAACAGTTTTAGGTTCACATTATAGGACATTGATTTATCTGCTTTCATATAAAATTATAAACAAGCTGTGTTTACCTTGTTATTTAGACAGAAAAGAAATACTAATACTAGTATTGTTGTTTAAAATATACTTTGGTAAATATTTATTCTGACACTTAAATTTTTTTTCACTCCCAAATTGATGAGTGACTAGAATCATGTTAAAATCAGAATAAAGTGATATGGCTTACTTGACCACTATACTCACACTGATGTTAAATTCTAAAATAATGTTGTTATCAGACAAACATTAACCAGACGTGGTAAAACATATAGTTGTTACTACTTCAATGTTTGTTGTATATTGTAAATGTCATGACCTCTCCCAACAATTGTACAACAATTGATAAAATGCTGCACATTTATTAGTTAATATTCACAATACTAATACTGTACAGAACAGTTATAATAATAATTGTATGCATCATGCATATTTCTTTGAGCTTCTCATCATCTCACTGTAAGTTAGGGTAAAGTATTTGTTCAATTTATTCAAGACGACTCTTGCAACAGAAACAAAAAACATATATAATAGTATTTAGAAAAATGTGTAAGAAAAGAGGGAAAAGTTTAGCTATAATAATAATAAGGTAACAGTAACGGTAATTTTCCCGATAATTATATCTCATAATTTTATATGACTTTATCGAAATGCGACTTTACATATATGCAGATAAAATAACCCCCATGTAAGAGACCTTCTATACATGAGAGACTCGTAAACTTTTTATATCTTAAATCGAATCATGTCAACTAAAGTCGTCAACTACCGTATTGGTTAGAATTATCATGATCAAGATCATTGAACCGTCGTTATGTCAAAGTCTGGAGAGGGACGGGTTTACACTGCCACTCGGATGCCGCATAATCGTACCACTCATTAGGATACAACTCATCAAGAAATAGTGCGGGTAACGTCGCATTATAAGCAGACACAATATCGTGAGAAACGTCCATGCAATTATTTGTGAATGTATTGTAGTCTTTATCTATCAACGCTTCTACCGCTTTAATCGCATTTTCAACGCTAGGAGCGTCAACTGACACGTTGATATAAGTATCGTAACCGAGATTTTTAAAAGTAGCAATCATTTCTTTGTGAGAATCAGAACGATCCCAAAAGCCATTCGGTCTCGATGTCATGTTAGAGCCCGTATTATCGAGCGATCCGTAAGTATAACGGCCGACACTTTTCATGTAACCCCATGCAGTATGACCAAGACCAAAAGCGGAGCTTCTTTTGTTAAACAAATAAGCTTCACCCCGGGCATATGAGGGAATACTCATTGAAACCAAAATGGTTACGACCACTAATAGTCTTGTGTAGTTTATAGCTCCAATCATCTTGTTAATTGACGAAAGAGATCAGAACATGTAAATTTCAGTGTGTGTTTTATCGAGGATGAGATTTTATAAAAAGGGATCAAAATCACCCACCCCCCTTGCATCAAAAATCACATCATATTGATTATTGGCGAGTTGAGGTTTTTGTGAATATGATATTGTAACTGTTATGAATATCAGTCACCGTTTACGCACATTATTTTTAGAATTGTTGAGGCGTTGATTCGAATTATTGCGTGCATACAATTTGTACTGTGTAAATAACATACTATATACAATTCGGCAAAGAAACTGTAATTTGATCGAATGACATTGTTGTGTACACGTTTAGCAGATAATGGCCTTTTAGGGACAGGTGCGGGTTATTTAGATAGTTATTTATTAATATTATATTTTGCTGTAACATACCGAACTCATGTTATTATCTGAAAACTTTCACCGACGTCGACAACTAAAGCTAAATATTGTACTTGCTATTAAAGACTAGTGATCATCATGAAGTATGGCTTGCTTTTATATAATTATTCTATAGTTTAAATAGTTATACGTTTCATTTTCATCCGCAAAGCAAAGCAAAGAAAAGTAAAGCAAAGAAAAGAAAAAGCCTACGTTTTCCAGTATATCAAACGTTCGATCTATCAACTGTCGTTTCATGCGTTTTTTCTCTAGCCGTCATTTTATCATTATTATTCGCGATTAGAAGTACATTTTCTCACAGTCATCATGTTATGGCTAACGCATTGTCAAACCAGACGTTCCACAAAAAGATATAAGTAAAATGGCTTGCTTGGTTTGGCTAATATGTTTTTTTTTCCGTAATAGTAAACTCTATAAACGTTTACCCGTTTGCTTATTGATTAAAAATACATGCCAATATCCAGCGACCACAATAATGTATTATACGCCCCCCCTTTTTTCGTATTTTTATAGGGCTATTTATATCAGTTAATTAACGCTCCAGACGATTTAGTCGTAGTTATGACATCTATAGTCTATTATGCTTTCTTTTCTCATAAAGCAATACTATATATCCGTCCTCCCCACCCCAAACTCATTCTCGTCATTTATGTTCCAAACAAACAAGCAAACAGACAAATACTTAAAACTTCCAATAAATACTTTTCATAAACAGTTTAACTGTGTGAATAATAAATGTAGTTTCTGAAATGTCTACGTTAACTAAGATTAATCACTGTGAACATTATGACGTCTATTTTATCTTTTACATCTAATCAACCCTCCTTCATCTATTCAACGTATACGACATCGTGAACGTTATTTGTGCATCTCATCTTGCACAAGATATTTCTAACTCCGATCAAATCGGCAACGATAACAAAATACAGATCCTCTTTATGTCATGTTAAGTCGGAAAATTTTGACCATTAGACGTTATACCCACTGATCAGTCAATGTATAGCCGCAATCAATACTCGCATCTGCTTGCGCAAACTATATCCATTTCAAAACAATAATTTTATATAAACACCCACGTACACTGTGCGCCTACTGCAAAAAAACTGTTATATTCTACAAAGCTACAACGAAAACTATAGATAATAGCCTACCCTACTTATTCTACCAAAAACATTATGTGCTAACTCAAAAGACAGATAATTTACCTGATACGCTCTGTCTCATATCTTAGAAAGGTTTATCAATTTGTATAATACGTCATCATTTCCTTTATCCGTGTGTTTCATAGTCTCCTCGGTCAAACAACTGTGCAAATTCTTTCTCCGAGACCTTATTCTATCTGGTGATACAAAAACTCGCGCACTAAACCTTGTCCCGGATCTGCTGACAGTTTCTATCCACAGAAAATTAACAACCCAAAATGTTAATGTACAAAAAAGTACAAATTGTAACTGAATAGTTGAAAATTTATTATTTCTACATGCGTCTATATGCTAAAATACTCGTAACTCTCCCCAATAGACATTTTGTTTCAATGTTTTTTTCCCAACTATAACATGTTTTGACTCTATACGATTTAATTAGAACATCCTAAATTGCAATTGTTGTCGAAGATTTAAATATTTTCCACAGAAATACATAACGTAGACTTTTCATTATATACCCATCTTATGGATTATAAAGACTTCTAATTCTACAACGTTACCATAAACTTGAGTTGCTCTTATTCACTGACTCTTTTCCCGGCCATGGCCACTTCTATGACCATATTAAAATAACAAACCTACATACGAAAATATATTGAATACATGTTTGCATAACTTTGTTTGCCGTTTGTGCTGGCTGCTGTGCAGCGACAGCTGAAAAAAAAAAACAAAAAAACTTTTAAAATGCGCAAAGCGTATGGCGTAAAAAACAATATGCAAACTTTCCAGCAACTACCCAATTAATTACTCAAAACGTGTATACAATAAATAAACAAACAACCCATCTTGCTCTTTTTTTTATTTCGAACGGGGGCAAGAATTGCTACTAACCCATCAATTATGCAACAATTTACAAAACAGGTCAAATAACATAATTCTTAGAACCACAGATTGCCAAGTAATATTCCGATGTCTGAATACGGAAATAAGGAAAATTTTTTTTATCAACTATGACTGAAAATATATTACTCGCCAATTCCAACGTACTGCAGTCACTAACTCTATATCTACATTTTCTCAACGCAATATTAACACATTCTTGTAGCTACTTGTTCGAATTACAACTTAACAGCCGATCTAATTAATTGCAACTTAATGCTATGAAATTATTACCCTTCAATA